TTTTGTAATTCAATGGGGAGGGAGACAAAAATTCACAGCATATGGGCTATGATCAGTAGGATGAATGGTTTAAAAAAGGATGGTTATCCAGTCTTGAAGGACGAAGAGGTGACAGTAGTAAAGGATGAAGAAAAGGTTAACATGTTGGCAAAAGCGTTTGTTAAAATCCATAGCTCAGGAAATGTTAGTGAAGAAGAAAGAAAGGATAATTATAGAGAATAGAGATTTATTGGATATGGTGGAGGATATGGATGATCTGGTGAATATGCCTTTTACTAAGTCAGAGTTACACCGAGTGCTCCAGAAATATAAGTTATCAGAGCCAGGGAAAGATCAGAGGTGCTATATTATGATAGACCATCTTAGTGAGTCAGCCAAAGAGAAGTTAGTGGAGTTGTATAATAGGGTTTGGGAAGGTGGGAAGCTGCCACAAAGTGGGAAAGAGGCTGTGGTGGTGCCTATACGTAAGCCAGGGAGGGATGGTACCAAGCCAGGTAATTATAGACCGATAGCTTTAACATCACATATTTGTAAAGTTATGGAGAGAATGGTAAATGAGAGATTAATGTATTATGTAGAAAGCAGAGGGTTTCTATCTAAATATCAAAGTGGATTTAGAAGAGGGAGCAATATTATGTATTGTGTTTGGAGCATAAAATTAGGAGGGATCAAATAAAGAGTGGTGGCAGTGTTTTTCGATATAGAGAAAGCTTATGATATGATGTGGAGAGAAGGTTTGTTAATCAAAATCTGTAAATTGGGTATTAAGGGGTGGATGGATTTTGGATTTTTTAAAGGGTAGGCAAATATGAGTGAGGATTCGAAAGAATTATTCGGAGAGGTTTTCTGTAGAGAACGGGACTCCTCAGGGGAGCATAGTGAGTCCTTTGTTATTTTCTCTAATGATTAATGATGTGTTTAATGACATAGAGGGTGGGGTGTTCACTTTTTGCTGATGACGGAGCCTTATGGAGGAGAGGGAGGATGTTGGTTTTGTTGTAAAGAAGTTACAGGAAGCAGTTGTGTAAAGTGGAAGAATGATCGTATAGGTGGGGATTCAAATTTTCAGTTGATAAGACTAAGACAATGGTTTTTTTTTACAAAGAAAAGGTGAAGAAGGTAAGCTGAACCTATATGGTGTAGAATTAGAAAGAGTGAGGAAGTTTAAGTTTCTGGGTTTGTGGTTTGATGAAAGGGTAACTTGGGGTGCACACATTCAGGAATTGGTGGGTAAGTATAAAAAAGTTTTGAATATTTTGAGGTGTTTGGTTGGGAAGGATTGGGGAGCAGATAGGGAATCCCAGAGGGCCATATACACTGGGTTGGTGAGGTCAATGTTAGATTATGGTTGTGTGGCATATAATTCGGCAGCAGACACTACTCTTGGGAAGTTAGATTTTATTCAGTATCAGGTGTTGAGACTTTGTACAGGGGCATTTAAGACAACTCCTACTGTAGCCTTGCAGGTGGAGATGGGGGAAATGCCACTAGAGTTGAGGAGGGAACAGCTTACATTGACTGGGAAAACATACAGGGTCAGGGGAAGGATCACCCTGCACTAGAAGTACTTAAACCTTACTGGGAGAAAGGCAGGAGGGAGTTAAAGAGCTTTGGATGGTGTTGCGCCGCTCTGCAGCCCCTAATCTCCTCAATGTGTTCAGCTGGTGCTAACTGGCCACACCTAGTCAGGTGTGGATAAAAGCACACCTGAAGTAGGCTTCCCAGAAGCTCACTAGTCTTTGCCTTGGTGACACCAGCCATTTTAGCCAACCTGCAATGCCATTTTAAGATAAACCTCTTCTCACTAACGCTGTGGTATTAGTCTCCTTTTTTATGTTGCGGCCTTTGAGCAGGGTCGTAACATAAGTGGGGGCTTGTCCGGGATTGTTTGGACATTTTTTTTTGGGGACTGAAATCAGTTTGTTTTACTTTTAAGTGGGTGAGTGAAGGTGTTCACTGTGACTGAGCAACGTCCCTTTAGTAAGTGTGTTTTAGCTGGGTAGCTGTGCTGCCCTTCCATCGAAGCACTTGTTTGTTGTTTTGCTTTGTTGTTGTTTTCATTTGTTGTTTGGTGGTACACCACTGAAGACTAGGTAGGTAAAGTTAGGGTTTTATTGTTTTTAGCGTTTTAGGTTGGGAGTTGCACAAAGTAAATCAGTGGCACCAAACTTGGCAGGAGGTTTGAGACCATTAATTCTGGTCTTGTAGCTGAGGCAGGTAGGCCGTTTTTAAGTTGGCATTGCGTGTACATCATGTGTGTGCATCTAATGTCAGTGTGGATGGATGCTAATGACATCCTCATAAAGTGAGTGTTTTGTGCTGTGGCCTTTATTGTGGCAGAGCATGTGGCTACTTTGGTTAGATCTCTTTTGAGCAATCATTGTGTGGCCATAGCTCTCTGTTTGTGGTTGGTCACTAGCATGTTTTCTTTACTGAACTTTGGAGTTTAAAGTGACTTGTTGTGGTATAGGGCCACTTGTATGTGACCATTTGTGTGGTGGAGACAACAGATCAGTTGGTTGTGATTATTTGTTGCTACTTTTGGTTTTGTGTTGTAGCAGGTCGAGTAATTATTTTGGGTTTGACTGTAGTGCTCCTTTGTTGGTCACATGTTACTTTTTGTGCGTTCAGTGTGGTAACTTCAAAATCCTCATGCAGGAGCGTCCCTGTTTAAAAATGCCAGCTAAAGAAATGTGAGTATTTAGTTCTATGTTAGAGCTGGTAATAAAGTGCTTAAGTTTGTGCTTCGGCTCAAGTTTATGTTTGAGGGATCAAGGTCCAGAGAGGCTTTTTAAAAATTTAGGGGTCCTAGAGGAACCCTTTTGAGGGAGGAGGTGTTACGCAACCAGCTCCTCTGCAGCCCCTAATCTCCTCAATGTGTTCAGCTGGTGCTATTCTTCTCCTTTCTTATGTTTCGACCCTGCTCTAAAGCCACAACATAGAAAAGGAGACGAATACCACAGTGTTAGTGAGAAGAGGTTTATCTTAAAATGGCATTGCAGGTTGGCTAAAATGACTGGTGCCACCAAGGCAAAGACTAGTGAGCTTCTGGGAAGCCTACCTCAGGTATGCTTTTATCCACACCTGACTAGGTGTGGCCAGTTAACACCAGCTGAACACATTGAGGAGATTAGGGGCTGCAGAGCGGCGTAACAGATGGGTGGTTAGGGGAAGAAAGAAGGAACTTAAATTGGATCAGTTAGACATCTGTCAACAAGCGCCGTGGCCTGTAATCCCTTCATGGATACTTCCTGAAGCAGCTGTAGGTTTTGCTTTATTGCACCAGAAGAGTAAGGACGGGGCAGGCGGTCTAGACTAAAATTCAGTTCAAGTACTGCAAGTATATACGTGTGCTTCAAAGAATCCAGCCAGTCAAGTGGGGCTAGCACCAGTAATTATGGTAGAACTTGGGAAGAGGATTAATGATTATCTGTGTTTACAGGAGAAATGATAGCAATTCTATTAGCGGTTCAGTGGGTGGAAGATTTGAGGCCATTGAAAGCAATTATTTGTTCAGATTCAAGAGCAGCCTTGGTCAGTCTACAGAGCGGTCATTCGGAAAGTAGATCAGATATTTTAATAGAGATTCAGCAAACTCTTTTCAGAATACATATGATGGGTCTGTTGGTGTTTGTATGGGTTCCCAGCTCACTATGGGGTGAGGGGGGATGAAGCAGTGGATGGGTTAGTAAAGGAAGCTACTAATTATAGGATAGTTGATCTGGCGGTGAGTTTTGGTCAGGCGGAAGTTAAGACTGTTATTGAGGGGTAGATGGCAGAAACAGTGGGAAGAAGAAAGGAGGGGAAGGTGGGAGTAAGGAGAGCCACAAGGAAGGAGGAGGAGGAGGTGTCAAGACTGAGATTTGGACATACAGGATTGAATTCTACACTATTCTTTATAGGGAAACATAATTCAAGGACATGTAACTATTGTGGAGAGGAGGAAACTTTGGAGCATGTTATTTTGCAGTGTCGGAAGTATAAGGCAGAGAGGAGACAACTGGGCCAAAGTCTCGGTAACATTAACGTGAAATTAGATCTTATTAAGTTATTGCAAAAGGAGTTGGGGAATAAAAGCTATCAGGCTCTGTTTACGTGTTTGAGAGAAGGTAGTTTGTAAGGATATGAAGTAGGTTGGTTTAGTTTGTTTTTGAGTGCGATTCCTGTCCACACTGCATATCAGTGGTGTTAATGCACCATGCAGTTGTTTGCCAGTTCAGTCAGTTCTTTGTATATTAGACCATTAGTAACAGGCTGTTTTGAGACATTATTTTGTACCTTCTTGAAGTGCAGTAGTTATAGTTCGTAGCCTCTGAGCTAATGATACAAGTGTACACTTGCCCACTACCTGCTTATTGTTCTTTGTATTAATATCAGATTGTATATCTACAGGATGCTTATCTTGTAGTCTCCTATGTTAGTGGCTAAATATACTTACCTGCTGATTATATGACAATCCATTAAGAGTTTAGTTTTATGTGTTTCTAGTTTCACTCCAATGATGTCAGTTCAACACTATGTTCGAAGTCATTAAAGGAGCAAGTACGCTCACCTTCCTGGCTCTTGAGTTTGGCTGGCTGTTCACGCTCAGGGAGTTCAACACAGAGAGAACAGTACTGATACATTCAATCAATTTAAAATTTTAATTCAGTTTTGCCATGTTCAACTCTACATGAATAAAAAGGACAGGCACAGTATTAAATACAAAGCTTAGAAGGTGACTAGTGGAACCTACCTCTGTTATACAGCAACCCAACAGTTAAAACAGCGTGCACTCACATTCTACCATGAAGGAAGTGACCAGGTCAGACACTAAAGGCTACTGTGCCATCCTGCCTAAGGTTGTTTCTTCCTCATTTTAATTTGTTTTAAGAGAAAACAGTTCTGTGCTCTGTTCGATCTACCAGTCATCTCCTATAAAACAAGCCTAACACCAAATACCTCTGTATTTTTAAGAAGCTCTGCAGTTATTAAAAAGCATCAAATTGTGTCATTCCTACCCTTTCTGCTGATCACTTTAGCCTTCAGTTGAATACTTCTTCTTTTAATGCGCCTCCTGTTTTTCAAACCAGTGTTTGAGGGGACGTTTATAAGAGCAAACAAGCTGGTGGGAGACGGGGAGGGGCAGAGGGAACTTGTTCTCCGTCTCTGGCTCCCATCCAGCAGAGCGCCTCCTTCGCTTCCTGTTCTGTTTTCCTACATTCCAGACAAGCAGCGATACACAGACCTTTGTGGAATAATCCTGAGACCCCTCAGACTTTTACAGGAGGTAAGGTTGGGCTGCTTTTTATTTTTGTTTTCATCTTTGACAGTTGAATAGGATACACAAGCCCACGCGCCTTTCACAGTCCACGTTCTGTTGTTTTGGCACTATTTATGTATATATTAGAAAGAATGTGCACACACACACAGTGAGTGTACAAAGTGCACTTTATTTG